ATATAATTACAAAGTGTCAAAAATAGTTTTACATCAAGTGAAATAATGATTATTAAAAATTGAATTTGAAGAATAAAGATACTCATCATTAATAATAATAACTTCGAGAAACATAAAATACTAAGCTTTATAAAAAAATGTTAAGCTTTGATATATACTGGAGAAGATAAGAATATTAATTATCGTAATTTTTTATTTTACTGCTTAACAATAATGATATATTATAACTATTTTTTTTCAAGATCATTGTCAATAAAATAATCGAATTTTGCTGATTGCTTCAGAAATTTCATTTTAAGAAGGATGGTTTAATGTTAGTGCTATTTTATAAAACTTAATGGCTAAAAAATTTTGGTTCTATTTTTCTAATGAAATTGCTAAATGATAACTAACATAAAACCTTTGTTATAATAAGCATCCATATGATTTATATCAAGTGAAATCGCTTTATCAAAGCAGATTATAGCGTGTTCATCTTAATTCAAATCCTATAAAATTAGACCTAAAATTCTTATATGGGGATAAAACCTTTTTGATGATAGGCTTTAATAAAATTTTCATCTTTTTCCAATGCTTGATTAAAATCATTTAATGCTTTGTCTATGTCACCAATTGTTTTATATAATATGCCTAATATATTGAGTGTAATAGTTTTTACCTCTATTATAATAGGCTGTCGCATCATTTGGACCAAGTTAGATTGCTTAATTATAATCATTTAATGCTTTGTCTATGTCACCAATTGTTTTATATAATATGCCTAACATATTGAGTGTAATAGTATTTACCTCTATTATGCAAGGCTTCCGCATCATTTGGATTAAGTTAGATTGCTTAATTATAATTATTTAATGCTTTGTCTATTTCACCAATATTATCATATAAAATTGCTAATATATTGAGTGTAATACTATAAACCTCTATTATAAAAGGCTTTTGCATTATTTGGATTAATTTAAATTGCTTAATTATAATCATTTAATGCTTTGTCTATGTCACCAATAGTATTATGTAATATGGCTAATATATTGAATATAATAGTATTTACCCCTATTATAAAATGCTGTAGCATTATTAGGATCAAGTTGAATTACTTAATTATAATCATTTAATGCTTTGTCTCTGTCACCAATTGTTTTAAATAATATGCCTAATATATTGAGTGTAATAGTATTTACCTCTATTATGCAAGGCTTCCACATCATTTGGATCAAGTTGGATTGCTTAATTATAATTATTTAATGCTTCATCTATATCACCAATATTATCATATAAAACTGCTAATATATTGAGTTTAATAGAATTTACCTCTATTATAATAGGCTGTCGCATTATTTGGATCAAGTTAGATTGCGTAATTATAATCATTTAATGCTTTTTCTATGTCACCAATAGTATTATATAATATGGCTAAAGCATTGAATGTAATAGTATTTACCTCTATTATAAAGGGCTGTCACATTATTTGGATCAAGTTCAATTGCTTAGTTATAATCATTTAATGCTTTATCTATGTCACCAATATTATCATATAAGATTGCTAATATATTGAGTGTAATACTATATACCTCTATTATAAAAGGCTGCATTATATTTTGGATTGATATCAATTGCTTAACTGAAATCACTTAAGGCTTAATCAGTTTTTTTTTCATCCATATAATAACACCCTTAAAAATTAAATTTTATGTTACCACGACACAAAAATGCATAATCACAATTGCTATCTTTATCTATAGCTTAATTGTAATAATTTAGTTAATTATCCTTTTATTTCAATCCTCCCATAATCGTGCCTACAAATTTATTTTTATATTGTTACCTATTCTACAATATCCCATTGCAAAATTTTCATTAATCTAAACACACTTCCTACAATCTTCTAAACCAAGATTAAATTATTATTATATCCAATAAATTGTTGCTTAAATAATAAGATTTACTTTATACCTCTTTGATAATAACTTTCAGCATTATTATTGTTTATAGAGATGCTATAATTTACATCTTCCAATGCCTTATCATATATTTTCATTTTTTCATATAATTCACCTAAATTGAAATAATAACATTAAACTTCTTAAAGTGTAGGCTTCTGCAAATTTAGGATTTATATTCAAAGCAGTATTAATTTCTAGTAATGCTTCTTCAAATTTTAAGTAATTTTAAATCCCTAAAAACGATTCCAGTAAATAATTTACTTTGCTTCTGGAATAATGCTCAAATATAATTAATATAATTTAAAGAATTCTTTAAATGGTTTATTTTCAAAATTTTAATTAAATGAAATTTATATATCACTATTATAACTTCTAAAAGCTTTTGTTTGAATTTTGAAATATATTTGATATTAATTCAAATATTTAAATATTTAATGACTTTTTATATGTAAAGGGGTAATATATAAATTAACCACAAATTATAGTTAATCGAGGATGACCTAATAAAAAATCAATTTGTGAACCAATTATCTTACATTTTTTTGATAAATAGCAAATTAGATTTAAGTTCTATTTTTTCATTATTCAAGAGACATAATTGATTTTTTTCTCTAAATTTGATTGTTTGCTTACATTAAAGCAAAAATTTTGTTTGGTAAAAGGGTTAATCTTTTTGGATTCTAATTTTCTGATCTTACAAATATGAATAGACAATTAGATATTTTTTGCTTTGACTTTATGTAAAGTGATCAATATTTTTTTATTTATTGTATTATGTATTGTTTTTATTCAATAGAAAAGATATTAAAGATTATTAATGTAATTTCTTATCAATTATTTTTATTGGATAGAAAAGGTATTAGAAATTTAACTTATTTTTATATGTATTATTTTTAGATGGATAAGACATTAGCAATTTTTAATTGCCTTTAATTTTTATTATTTATTTTCAATAGAAAATACATTAGAAATTTATTAACTTATTTATTTATCTCATTATTTCAATTTAAGTCTATTGAAATATAAATGTCCCAATATCAAATAAACCCAATATGATATTATTAAGAATATAATAAATTATTACTCTGATTCTAGATCCAAGAACATGTTATGAATTTTTGTAATAGAAATTCAGCAAAATATCTGAAATAAAATCCTGAAAGAAGGTTTAATATTTTACAATTATATTGAGTATTTACAAATATCCACAAATTATTTTGAACCGATATTATAATTAAATATCGACTTAATTTATTAAAAATTATTTTCTGGAAATGGATAAATTTTTACTCAAACATCTATATTTAAATATATGAATAGATATTAAAGGTAAAAAATACTATCCAAAAGAGAAATATAAAAGGCTCTTCTTTTTAGAATTTTATTGTTAAAACTCATAATATAATTTTTATTTTTAATAGATTCAAAAATAAATATAAGTATTAACAATCTATAATTATTTATGTATTCTTTTGTAAAAGTTTACAAGGACAATGTAAAGTTGAAAATCAAAGTATACTTTTTTTGGCTTATTAATTATTTTTTCATCCTCCTTTGACCGCTCTTTGTTTAATAATTCTATCATCTAAAGTATTATGTTAAAGTCAAACTTAATTAGCAAGTTTTATCCTTTATTAAAATAGACAAAAATATATTTAATTTAGTATTATTATTCTTAATGTTATTTTTGATTATGATTTTTTATTCCTTTGTATTTCAAATATCAAAATAATATAAGTTGTGTTTAGTATTAATAAATTATTACTAATATCTTAGATATGACCTTTTTTATCCTTTTAATGTTTCAATACTTGAGTAGTTTAGAAATAAAGGAGATGGAATCTATATATTAATATAGCTAAAAATCAATTACGATATCAGAAGTTAGAGTTACACCAAATTTTTCTACTGCCTTCAGATATGGATTATGGTCAAAATATAATCCCTTAACAAGTATTCTTTAAGTTGGAAGTGTTGGATTGTTTGATAGTGATTGCTTCCATTTACATAGTGCAGTTGAAGAATCATCTTTGACTCTTAATCTAATTTATTATGATTGCATAGATATTTCTTTAAAGAAAATCACTAAAACAATTGCATTTATTGATAATAATAGCATGCAACATTCATATACAATAGACATAGATCCATTTGAGTATGAAAATGTTTGGTATTATTTTTAAATTTTACAATGGCCTTTATAAGAAAGATTTGAATTAATTTTTATATATAAAGAGAAAATTATTCGAGAAAACTTGAAAATTAAACAACCTTTTAAAGATCAAAGTTTAAAGCTAATTTTTGGGGGTGGAATGATAGTACAATAATCTATGATTTAAACAATTGTTTAAGGTACAAGATTTGCCTATTTTCCTGGTAAAATGATAAAAGTTGAATATGAATTTGGGGAGATATCAGTAGATGAAGATCAAGAATAGTTGGCAAGAATGGCTTTTGAACCATACAATTTATGTGTTTGTAACATGACTAGTGAATTGAGATTGGAAGACAATACTATGAAATATTTGGATAATTTAGTGTATATTTCAGAGAATATTAATTGCAATTCTTTTGAATTATCTGGATGGTTGAAAATAGCTGATATTATTTAGAGTTCAGATGAATTTATTTATCCTTTCCTTATCCTTTCATCTAATTTCTAAAATTCATTATCAAAAATAACCTTATCTCCATTTACTCTATCGTATAAAATTTCTCCAATAAGAATTTAAATAATTGTCACAACTTATAGCTACACATTTCCATCAGTCATTTCTGATGATTAATAATTAATCTAAAAAGAGTTTGATATTTTAAATAGTATAACTCTTTGGTAAAAAATAAAAATAACTCTTATTGCTGATTAATTGATAATTAATATTAAATTTTATGAAAATTATGATTATTATGAATATAGTACTTATGAACAAGTAAATTAGTTTAAGTGCACTTAATTTAAACTTTTATATGGTAATATAAATTAATCTAGAACAAATTATTTAAATATTTTATTTAGAAATATATTATTTAATAATTGTGAAACAGATAATACTTTATAAAGTTGTCATCATAGTTGTTAAGAATGTGATGGACCTTCTTAGAATAACTGTTTATCTTGTAGAGGTTTAAGAATTTATTTACCTGAATTTAAAGCTTGTGTGTGTCCATTTAATACTATTGATTAAGAGAATTGTGTTTCTTATGTAGATTCTGAACTAGAATTATCAAGTTTTAAAAAGAAAATGCCTAAATGTAAGTATGGTTATTTTGAATATGAAGATGGTTGTATACGTTGGTAATTATTTATAATAAATATAATAGTCCTTCGATAATAAATGATTAAGTGGCAACTTGTTAAGAATGTTTATAGAATCCTTAAGGATGGAGCAAAGAACCTTATTGTGAAAATGATTTATTCTTAAATTAAAATGGTGATGTTAAAACTAATTTTTGGTAGGGTTATTAAATTTATTATCTATTTGATGGTATAGATTTAATTTATTGTTAAAATTGCAATAGATCTTACTCTTTTATTGTTGATGATTATAATGTTAAGAGTGAAATAACTTTAAAATAACAAATTTTTATATTTTTAGATGAATATCCTTATTGTGAAAAAGCTATTAAAAATATTCAAGGCTATTATTGTATTTTATGTGACAAATTATCATACCCTATGAATGATGGAAACTGTACATTAATTAATGAAGATTTTAATTAATTAAACTGTTTGGCACCATATTATGTAAATTCATTAAGAAGATGTAAATTATGTCCAATTCTTAATTGTAAATACTGCTTTGAATATCAATCTAATGATTTAACTAAATGCACTCTTTACAATAATTTTGATGATTTTAATTAAGATCAGGAAATCAAAATTGGATGTGCATTATGTGAAGATAATTTTATTTTTGATTTTGATGCTGGAGTATGTTTATTTAATATTCCAAAAATATAATATTGTTTGAGATCTTATATTTATGATGGTTAAGAAGTATGTACATTATCATAGATTCAAGATTTTTCTTTGGCTCCTGAGATAATTAATTGTCAAAATCTTTAACCTCATTGTTTACAATGTATTTAATCTCCAGAATTCACAATTAAGTGTATTGTCTGTCAGATTGGATATATTACATCTATTTCAACTGGAGGATGTTATTTGGCTGATGAATATAAATAATAAGGAGCTAAAATAATAATTGAAGGAGTTTACCCAAAAATGGATGGATGGGTGTTAAGAATTTAGAGTTTCATGATGAAATTTCTACCAAATCAATATTTTTACTTTTAATCTAAATTTGATTAAGTACTCTCATAAATGGTAGTTGAATGTTTAGAAGGTTATCGACTTTCTCCTTATTTTGGTTGTTTTAAGAATTGTGATCCTTTATGTTTAGATTGTAAATATGATAAAATTCAAGGTTATTATTGTAATACTTGTCCTTTAAATTAATATTACTAACCTATTAGAAATTAAATTGATGGAAAATGTTTTGAATGTACCCAACTTTGTTAAGCTTGTTAAGTCAGAACAAATAATGAAATAATTGTAATTATTACATATATATTTATTTTAGAGTAATCAACCAAATTTTATAATTGATGATAACAATTAAATTTTTACTAAAAAGTGTCTAAAAACCGTAAATCATCCTTAGATTTATTTGGATCCATATGATTAAATTGCTAAATATTGTTTTGATGAAAATTGTNTGTCCATTTAATACTATTGATTAAGAGAATTGTGTTTCTTATGTAGATTCTGAACTAGAATTATCAAGTTTTAAAAAGAAAATGCCTAAATGTAAGTATGGTTATTTTGAATATGAAGATGGTTGTATACGTTGGTAATTATTTATAATAAATATAATAGTCCTTCGATAATAAATGATTAAGTGGCAACTTGTTAAGAATGTTTATAGAATCCTTAAGGATGGAGCAAAGAACCTTATTGTGAAAATGATTTATTCTTAAATTAAAATGGTGATGTTAAAACTAATTTTTGGTAGGGTTATTAAATTTATTATCTATTTGATGGTATAGATTTAATTTATTGTTAAAATTGCAATAGATCTTACTCTTTTATTGT